TGAGGGTTATTGTTTCTCCTTCCACCTGACACATCTCATTCCACCCCCAGCCCCCACCCCGGCCAAGTCCCCATAGTCCTGGGGACCAGGGCCACCCCTCGAGCTGATAGCTAGGGGCCTTGGTGGCGGGAGGCAGGGAAGTGCTGCCCCAGGTGGGCCAGCTGCCCCTGTCCCCAGCCCACCCCTCCAGGTCTGCCTCCGCCACCCACCCTCCACTTTGCCATCCTTCGATGTCTCTCTCGGCTGCCTAGGAGCCCTGCGGCTGCCGCAGACCAGTTGTAAGTATGTGATTATGTATGCCGGGTCCCTCTGGCCCCTTTGTTGCTGCAGAATCTGTCATGGCAAACAAAAGTGCACTGGATTAGCCACAGTGGATTAAAAGATTTGCTTCTCAGAGTTTACCTAATAACCTAACAATCGCACTGACGGAGGCTTTGAACCTCCGAGACACACTCGCCAGGCCATCTGGGAGCCCTCAGCCTCTGCGGGCAGCAAGATGGTTGGGGTGATTACAGGCAGCCTCCGCCCGTCTTCACACCCGGCTCGGCCATGGCGGGCCTGAGCGCTCGGCTCCTGCCAGGCCCCTCTGGGCCCAACGTGGAGACGAGACCAGACTCCAGGAGAAGAAAATGGAGGCTCAGGTTGGGGGCCAAGGCCCAGGCAGGACCTCCTTCCAGAGGGCCCGCTGCCCAACGCCAGGTGTGGGTGGTGGGCACCAGCCCTTGCCTGCACGGGCCCACCCCCCCAGGGGCATCCACACGTCACACACAGCAGCAAGGACACTGCAACATGGAGTGCGGCCATGGCCGGCAGGTGACACTCCGGGCTCCACCATGCCATGGCGCACAGCCCCACGGCCAGCGCCCCTCAACGCGCGTTCCTGCACACACGCGTGCACACGCGCACACACACACGAGCGCGTCCCTCTTTGATCTCCAAAGGACACTCCATTTACAAGCTCTTAATCGCAGCTGCCTTTTCGGGCCCGTCCTCTGAAGTCCCGAGTAATGGGATTTGGCGCTTCTGATCCATCTTGGGCTGACCACTCCCCGTTATAGGTGGACGTTTTTTCCTTTTTTTCCGCCTTTTTTTTTCTTCTCGAAAAAATGCTTCTGAAATCGCACTGCCTTGACATGCCTGTTGCCTAGCCCTGGGAGCAGTGGCCGGGCAGCTGTTACGCCCAGGGCCTCGGCCAGTTGGGGGTCTTTGATGCCGCCTCTACGTGAAATCTGCCGAGAAAGACCCACGAGAGCGATTTTCGGACCTCGGTGCACTGGGATTCATCCTGCCTTGCGCCGTTTCCTTTGTCTCTCTTCCCATGACCCTTCCTTGGGGTACCTGGGGAGAGGGGCCCGGGGTGAAGGTGCAGAGGGTGGGGTGGGCTGAGGGCTGTGGGCTCAGCCACAAGAACAATGGGCAGCAGGGAGCACGTCCACCTGTCTGCCTGTCTGCCCGTCTATCCGTGCGCCCACCCAGCTTACCTCACCTGCCTGGCTCCGTGTGCCTGCTCCCGCCCCACCGGCCCGCGCTCCGCCATGCTGGGCCTGGCTGTCCGTCCGAGCACTCTGAGCCACTCCAGGAAGCGGGTCCCTGCTCTTGGCCACTGTGTGGCTGCAAGGAAGAAGCGTGACTCTAGGCTGCAGCTCGGGCTCCCACCGCCGATTGGCTGAGGCAGGGACCAGATGACGGCCTCGGAACCCTATGGTAGCCATGGCAACCAGCCCCTTTAGACACCGCCACCCCCGAGCCACTCCTGACTGCGGAGGGAGCAGGCGGCACCGCTGGTGGGCCCGCGCCAGGGTCCCCTTGGAGGGTCAGGTCAGACGTGGCTGGATGGTTGCTGCTCCTGCACCAGTTGTTGGGTGGTTTTTTTTGTGTGTGTTTCATGCACGTCCAGTGTTAGGGGTCCCTGTCCCTCTCTTGGGACATGTGCTAGGCCACTCCATGAATGCCCTTCCTGATGCCCTGGCAGTGGCAGGAACAGTGTCCTTGCAGCCCCTACTGAGAGGAAGACTTCAGGTCAGGCTTGTCCCAGGAGCTGAAGGCCAGGCCCAGTCTGGTGAGAAAATCATGTGTGAGGGCAGCAGGAGGAGGAGCAGGAGGAACTCCCCACCCCCAGGAGGCAGATCCAAGCTCTCCTCCACCTCAGACCCCACAGGGCCTCCTGGCCTCACCTCTGCCTGCCAACCCCTCCGCAGCCCTCTCCTTAGTCCTTTGGACACACAGACACACACAGCCCCAGCATGGCCCTGCTGCCCCACAGACCTTGTGTCTCCACCCATTAGGACCCTGGGACACTTTCCAACCCTGTATCTTTGCACCCGCTCTTCCTGTGGCCTGCCCCAGGGTCTGCTGGCCTCAGTGAGGCCTTCCTTGATGTCTCAAGGCCACAGCTATTCAGCAAGGGCACAATGCAGCATCACTCCAAGAACTGGCCATCCTGGGTGTTGCAGGACAGAGAGCAGCCCAGAGCCACCCCCACCCCATCTCCATGACAACCCCTGGCCTTTCAAAAAGCCTGTGGGGTCAGCACCTCCTGGTCAAGGCCCCCACATAGGGCACCTCAGAGCCCTAGGAGGCCCAGGCCCACCTGCTGAGCAGAAGATGGAGGAACACCTGCAGGGCTTGGAGAAGCAGGTTTGGGCCTCAAGCCCCCAGGAAGAAGCCAAGGCTGAGGCAGGCCCCTGCCGAGGCCACTGCCAAAGCCAGAGGGACCCAGGAGTAAGGGGGAGCACGGAACAGGAGTCCAGAGTGGTCACACATCTGAGGGAACAGGCACAGGGCAGGCTGGGCTGGGCCCAGAGTCACAGGGCACAGACGCTGCTTGACCAGCACCCTGAACTTGTCCTGAACTCTTCACACTGGCCTGGCCACACCCCAAGCTGCCCAGTCATGGGGCTTCCACCCCTAGCCTTGGGGCATCCCCTGCTGTGCTGGATGCCATGCGCAGACAGATGTTGTCCAAGGGCAAAGTGGGCTGGGTCACCTGTGGGTGGTAAAGGGGCCAGGGCTTGAAGCCTCATTCTGGGGCTCAGGGTGAGCAGGGGAGGACTCTGGCATGCTACGGCACAGAGTGCCAACCTGCACAGGGCTGGTGCTGCTGGGCAAGTTCTCCTGACCCAGGGCTCCAGCTAGGGGGCAGCCAGTGGCGGTGGGAGGAGAGGGGCTCAAGGGGGCAGCAATGGATGGTGAAGGTTGAGGTGGGTCCCAGTGCGTGTGGATGGGCCCCACAGCAGCTCCCTTATGCTCCCAGCACCCTGACAGGGCTCCAGTTGCCCTCTGCACACCTGCCCCCCTGCAGACCCTGATAGTGAGGGGTCAGGCACAGAGCCCTAGACTGAGCCCTGCCCCTCTCAGCCTAGGTTGTCCCCTCTCTAGGTAGGGTTGGTCCTTTTGCCTGCCCTGGGACACAGGGACAGTGGAATCAGGCAGTGGACACAACAGGGCCTTGACACATCACGGTGTTGACGGCCATGCTACTGTCAAGGCCTCCAGTGCTGGTCCCGAGGGCCCGTCCCCAGTCCATAGCCATAGTGATGCTTCACCCTCCTGTCCACAGCCCAGCATGGAAGCTGACTGGTTGAGCTGTTGTCATAGAAACACACAGGAGGGTCGACCCAGCTGGTACAGACAGGGGCATGGCCTGTTTGCTGCCATGGGTCAGCGCAGGGCAGCTCATGCTTCCATAGGTTTGACCTTGATCAGCACAACCCCCTGCCCTGCACCAACCCAGGGTTCCGATGGGCTGCAGGGCCTCAGCCAGGGCAGAACTGGAGCTCTGACAGAGCAACAAAGAGGCTGTGGTTGAGACTGTGCAGAGGTGTGGTTGACGGAAATGAAGGCAGCTCAGGGGCCTCCGCCTGACCAGGGCTGGGAGGGTGGGACACGTGGAGGGCAAGGATGTGTGGCTGATGGGCAGCTCAGCTCCTGGCTCCATGCTTGTGGATGAGTGCAGCCCTTGTGTCCTCCCCCCACTCCCACCTCCCAGACGAAACCGGAAGGTCTGGGTTATTGTTTTCTTGGGGCTGGGGAGTGAGTTTGTCACTCAGTGAGGGCTTCTGAACCTTTCCTGAGTCAAGGATTTTTGTGAGAATTTGATGAAACTGATGCTGCACCACCAGAAAAATGCTCATGTTTTAGTTCTGGGGCCAGGACCACACTCAGACCCCCACCTCAGTCCAGCCTCAGGCTATGCAGGGGGCAAGTGACCTGCTAAGGGCATGCCAAGCTCCTCCCAGGAGCCAGCAGAAGCCAGCCTGGGCCCACCAGTGCTGACAGGGAGGCCAATTCCACCCTCCATCCACCTCTCCCCTCCCCCGTACTGCTCACACCGGGCCCAGGCCCCACCCCGCTCAGGCCACAAGCCCTATGCCAGCGCCAGGTCCCTCAGTTCCCTCGAGGCTCCAGGAATGGCACAGGTACCCCCTCAGCCTGTGGTCTTAGTTGGGGCGGGAAGGAGCAGGCAAGGGAGGGGTACCTGAGTCAATATCAGTGAACTGGGATGTTCTGGGTATGCATTGCAGGGGTACCCAGGCCACAGACTGGGGGTGGGGGTTGGGGGAAGGGGGGCGGGGCACAGAAAGGGGATCCTGAATGTGGGAGGGAACCAGGAGGTGGAAGCTGGGGAGACTGGCCCACCCAGAGCACCAGCAGTCTGTGTGGTTCAGACAACTGGGCTGGGCGTTGCCAGCCCACAGAGCCGGGCCAGGCGTGAGCTGGGCATCATCAGCTTTTGGTAAAATTCTTAAAAAATTAAAAGGGTCACAGAATAGGGATGAGGACACGTGGGGTCTCAAGGCGTCCCCGGAGGAGACTGGGACTGGTGACCTCTGGGCATTCCCCCAGGGCTCTGACCCAGAGGCAGCGCCCAATCCTGGATGACATCCTTGCAAGCCATGGAGCCTCCAGGGCCCTCCTGCAGCCGTGCCCACTGGCCAGCTGCATGCTCCCTATGGCCTCCCGCCCCATAAACACAGCCCAGGTGGCAGCACTTCCACGGCTCCCTCAGGGGAGCCTGGTGCCCCTCAGTCAGTTGCCAGGACCAGGTCAGAGGAACCCACCTGTGTCCTCCCAAAGAGACCCAAATGGGTCTCAGTGCTCAGGACTTCCAGGTAGGGTCAGCAAAGAGGGTCATGCCACCCCCAAATCTCAGAGCAGGAAAGGCCTCAGGTGCCTGGTCCAGTCTCCCACTGGGGGCCACATCCCCACCCAAGTTCAGGTCTGGGTCAGCTGAAGAGGGAACATCTGTGTCACAGGCCCCACAGGCCATGTCGCTTCTGCCTCCTTTTGGACCGTGACAGGGAGGTGCTAACAGAAGCTCCAGACTCAAGGCCTTCCCTGCGAGACACTGGCACCAGCAGCACCTTCTGGGGCCCCTGCACCTCCCAGAGCTGGGGGGGTGGTGCTTGCCACCCCAAAGGCAGTGCTGGTGTGGACACCATACAGCCACTCCCAGAGCCAGAGCATAGCACCAGGTCTCTGCTCTGGAGAACATTCCAGGCAATGTGCCTTGAGCAGGAGCGAGCACAGTCCTACCCTATCCTAGGATGCCTCCCACAATGCTGGGTTCTCCCAGAGAAGAGAAAAGCACCAAAACCTTACACACCTAGGGACCACCACCCACCTCAGCTGCGTCCTGGGTCTCTGAGGCATGGGGTGAGCCTGATCCTCTAAGCAAAGCAGCACACACACAGCCCAGCTCAGACTTTACTCACACTGTCCCCCGAGGGTGATGACCTGCCTTGGCAGGGCCTCCACTGCGGGGAGGGGGGGACAGAGGCAGCGAGAGGGCCCCAGGCCTCTGGGGATCCTGGGACAAGAGACCTCCTGGGGCCTCCACAAAGCCCACCCCACCCGGGAGCTGCACGGCCAGCACACACGACCATGGGTGGCCCTCACCACCACCCCAGGCTCTGTCCACCGTGCCAAAGGGGGCGGGGTGCTGAGCCTGGCTGCCAGGTCCAGGTCCCATTGCGGCTACGTCCTGCTGGCTCTCTTCTGCATCACTGCTGGCTCAGATAGCGCTTGCTGCTGAAGCTGCTCGATCAGCTCTTCCACGTAGACCTTGAACAGAGGAACGGGGTCCTAGGGAGACAAGGCAGGTCACAGTGAGGCGCTCTGGGGAGGGTGGGGATCCAGCTCCTGACCAAACACCGAGAGGAATCAAGCATGAGAGGACCAGGCCCCTCCGGCTTGGCCACGGGGTCAAGCAAGGCTACTTGCCATCCGCTAGCCCCCAGCCCAGAGGACAGTGCTCTGTTCGTGGGAGAGGGGCTGCAGGGCCCTTGGCTGCAGAGACTCCGGGCAGAGAGAAGGGGCAGCAGCTGCGACAGGCCCCCTGTCCTGGCAGCTATGACACGCTCCAGACTCCTCTAGGGGACAGACACAAAAGGCCTCAGTGCAGTACTGGGCAGACCCCGGGGAATACTAGGTGGCCACAGAAATCGATGGTGCCAAGCATCCAGCTCTTATCCATCTTCCCATCCACGAAACCAGCCAGCGGGGGCAGGAGAGAGTCAGGACCTGGAGGGGAGGGAGTGGGCCACGCGGAGACCACAGCCCATGGCTCCCGCTGGGCAGCAGTGCCTTCCTAAGCCCACCCAGTGCCCCTGTCAACGCACCCCAGGGGCTGCTGCTTGGCAGCTGTGCCCACTCCTGAGAGGGCAGGGCAGCTGGTGCCCACACACGCTCACCTTCTCTTCCAGGAGCCTCTGCTTCTCCACGGCCTCGTCCAGCGTCAGGCCAACCCACTCGGCTTCCGCCTCCGGGATGACAAACGCCTGGGCAGACAGAGATGGGCTTGTGGGTGAGGTCAGGGTCAGGCAGCCAGCCAGGGGGCCCACGAGGAGCAGTAAGTAAAGGCTGGAGCCCTGACCTTGTACTTGTCGTAGATAGCCGCCCTCCTGTCGGGGTCATCTGGGTGCAGCTGGGGGTCCTGTCGGGCGAGCCGCAGCAGCATCCCTCGCTTCAGGTCCATCCCAAACTTGGAGCACAGGTCCTCCTTCGGGGTCTGGCAAGAGTCTCTGCATGGGGCCAGGTGCTGTGGGCAGGGCCCTGCCCCCCCCACCAGCCGGCCCTTCCAGCTTCCTCCCCAGCAGCTGGCAGCCCCCAGGCCAGCCTGGTGGAGCACTTTAGGCCAGGTGGGCAGCCCCAGCACCCAGACCAGAAGCGAGGAAGGTCTAAGAGCAGAGAAGGAGACAGCTGTGCTCCCTCAGCCACATGGGCAAGATGGCCGTCCACAGTGATGAACTCCCACTGGGGCTGCCCAGAAAGGGACATGGTCTCATTTACATCTCACAAGGAACCCCAGCGTGGTGCAGATCTGCTTGCCTTGAGAATGTAGAAGTCAAACCCGTAGGCCTCGTCGATGAGGTCCAGGGTGCGCATGGTCACGGTCACGGTGAACCTGGTATCCAGGATCTCACTGTAAAGCTCACGCTGGAACAGCTGCGGCTTCCACACCTTCTTCACCCTCTTGGAGAGCTGAGGGGGCAAGAATCTTGGTGAGCGTTGCTGCTTCTCCCCACACACTAGAGTGGGGAGACTGGGCATGTGGAGTTGCACGAACCAGTCCCCACCTGGGGACCCAGTTGCCCACCCAGAGGTCAGCTTCTCCCCAGACCCTGCCCAAGTTGCTGGTGTTTATTCCAGACACACCACACACACAACCATAACTCCACGGTCCACAGGTCATCATATCCCAAACCAGGCACCAAGGGGCCAAAGGCAAAGGGAGACTCTAGCCTAGGAGGTCTCAAAGACATAAGCCCCCTCCTCCCCCCTGCCTCCCCACCAGAGGCAACACAGCTCAGGGAGCAGACTCAGGAGACCTGCTCCCAGGTGAGCCTCTCAGCCTTCCCAAATGCCAGCCCTGTAGGTGTCACAAAAAGTAGGGAAAGTATGGCGGTCAAGCTGACAGGTGACCTTAATACTCATTCTCCATCTCTTCTCCCCACTCAGGGCTCCTCATCTATACACTTAATCTGGCTGCCAAAACTGTGACTTTTTACTCCTGAGGACACTCTTCAGATGGAGCTGTGTCTCCACCAGACTATAAGCTCCCTCTCCCCGAGGGGTGGGGGTCCCTTTCACTGTCCAGGTACTTCCAGAGCCCGGAGCAAGGCAGCGAGGCCCAAGAAGTACCGCTCAAGCCCGTCCTGCTCACCCACCTTGTCGTTGTTGATGTATCTGTGACCCTGCACCCAGCCCTCGCCGCCCCAGAGCCCCAGCTGGGACTCCGGGGGATAGTGAACGGGAATGGGCACGTCCTCCACGCGCTCCCGCTGCCCGTTCTTGGGGTTGATCTTGATTTTGACCCCGTGTGGCCTGTAGTGAACGGGAGTGGGCGTCCGCGCCTCCTCCAGGGAACGCAGGTAGTGCTGGGGCAGGCGGGAGTAGATGCCCTCCCGCAGCCGGAGCTGCTTCCACAGGCCGACTGGGACCTTGTGCAGGGGCATCGCGGCGAGCCTGGCAGGAGGCAGGGACCACCGTCACGCGCGCCCGGCCGGACGCGGGCCCCGACCCCCACCCCCGACTCCAGCCCCCGGCGCCCCGCCCCATTCCTACCCTCACGCGCCGCCTCGACCCCTGCCCCATGGCCCCGCGCGGCCCCGAGCCCAGCGACGTAACTCCAAGCGGCCCGACCCCCCCCGACTCCCGCCCCCGGCCCCCAGCCCCATCCCGACCCCCGGCTCCGCCTCCGTGCCCCCCGCGCGGCCCCAACCCCGACCCCGAGCCCCCGCGCGGCCCCGACCCCAGCCGCGTAACCCCGGGCGGCCCAACCACCGCAAGACCGCAACTCCACCGCCGGACCACCACCTACCTAACCGAGTCCCGCTCCCCGGCGGAACCGGAAATTGTGTCGGGGCACCTTGCCCTCCACTCGCCGCTGACTGGCTGCAAAGCCGGTCGGTCTACACCCACCTCGTCCCGCCCCCTTTCACGTCTTTAGGGACCGTGGAAAACTCGCTGCGGAAACGGCGGCAGCTGCAGGCACCGTCAGCAAGTGTGGGCCCATTTCCCGGGAGCAGGGACTTGTCATTCTCGGTTCCACCTCCCCTCCTCCCGGAGGAAGCGCAGAAAACAATGTAAAAACTCTTTTGCCGTGAAACCTCATGTAGAATATTAAATTCACCAATCACAGTGCAATCAGAGCTACAGAAAAATACGTCTTAAATGTCTTGAAAAAATTTCTCCCCAAAATACTGTATATAAATGTTTCCGCTTTACAAGCCTAGAGAATGCTCCAGTGGCCAAGTGCTGGGTGACTGGGGGTGCGGGAAGCCTCCAGGGAGGCCGCAGCCTGGACAGGACTCAGAAGGGAAGACGCCAGGGCCAAAAGATGGGAGAGTGCGTGCCCCCTACCCTGGGCTCAGCAGCCCTGTCCAGCACCCTCACACAGACAGCAGCCCCTTAGGGAGGGGCAGGGCACTGCTCCTGGGGCAGTCAGCAGCCCTTACCGTGCTTCCACCACAGAGGAAGGAGAAAGGCAGGGCCAGGCCTCCAGGAGCCCCCTCCCAAAACGTGTGGTTGGGCCAGTGGGGGGCGGCAGCCATCACCTTCTCTCCTGGGAGTAACTCAAGGAGATGCTCCCTAGACAGGGCCCAGGAACCCAGGGGTCAGTGGGACACAAAGATGGGACAAGGTGTGTCCTGCAGGCCCAGCACTCCCAGAGCAGCTTGGCAGCCCCCTCCCCAGGAACCTCATCTCAGGGGCCTGCAGCTCCAAAACTGAGAGCCAAAGGGAGTGAAGGGGGAGGGCTGGACAGCCAGAAGTCAGCCTCCCCCATGCTACCCATGGCAGCTGGCCCTTACGGACACCCCAGTGACATGAGCTCCCTGGTAAATGTGGTCACTCCTTCGCATGGCAAATGTATTAGCAGGGGGCATCCCCATGCCCGCGGCAGGCTGGCATTCAGGGGCACAAAGTGTCAATGAGCCAGGGATGGCATAGCTCCCAGCCTATGGGGCAGGGGCCCATGGGAGGTGGGCTCAGGCCTCCTCGGCCCACCTGGGTCTCTCATACCACAGCCTCACAGGGGAATAGGGCAATGGGGGACTCTTACACTATATCTCCCTCCAACCATCCCCAGGCCAGAAGAACTCAGAACCTGACCCCACATGGTACCTGTGGTCTCCAGGCAGCCAGGCCCAGGCCCCAGGGGCCACTGCAGATACCAGCTGGGACCTGCAGAGTGACCGAGTCAGCTGGCAGCCAGTGGGCACAAGGGAGTTGGGGGTGTGGTCCTCTCCTCAGGAGGAGAAAGCAAAAGAGTGCTCAGGGCAATTTTATTCAGTTGGAAATGGATCTGGACAGGGTCCCTCTCCTTTGGTCCTGCCCCTGGCTAGAGAGATCATCAAAGCTGCAGACGTCCCCAAGCTGGCTGTGTCATGTCACTGTGTACAGCTCGTCCCGGTGGTTCTTGCAGATCTCATAGTGGCAGGTGAGCTTCTGGGAGCAGGCCCAGGGCTTAGTGTGCTGTTCACGTGGTGGCAGCAAGAAGGCTGCGCTCCCTGCCAGCAGCATGTGCCAGATGCTGTGGGTATAGTAATAGTTGTCGCTGGTCATCATGGAAGTGTAGATGGTGATGGCCACAGCGGCCATGGAGATGCCGGGCAGGAGGTAGAAGACCCAGCGTTGCCAGGAGGGGGGGTAGCAGTGGCGCCGGCGCCCGCAGCGGTACACCTGGAGAAAACCACCGCATGAGTGTTGGCACAGGGGCTGCAGCCACAGCTCCCAGGGGCCTGCCCTGGTCTGGGAGTGTGGGCTGCTTGGAGGGGTTCAAGGGCACAAAGATCTATGGGTTCCTCAGGCCCAGGCCCTGGGCATGAAGCCACACCGAGCCCCTGTGGGTGCCACTGGCAGCCCTCAGCAGATCTGGAGGACTCAGACCCAGGACTGAGAACATGGCCAAAATGAGGGACCATGTTCTCTCCTCCCAGAGTAAGGGTGTATGGAGAGCCCATGCTCTTTTACCCCAATTACCAGGAGAGGGAGCCTGGGCAGGACCCCAGGCCTGCCCTAGTTCCTTACCCACATGGTGACCATGACCACAATGGCAAAGAGGCAAGGCCCCATTGTGTTCCAGGCGGCCCTGCGGTCCAGCTGCAAGGACATGGCGAAGACCAGAGCGCCCAGGAGAAACAGAACCTGGGCAAAACACAAGGACGATGGCAGGGTCACAGGAGCCCTAGGCCTGGTTCGTCTTTAATGGCACAAGGTCCAGCAGGAGCAGGTGGTTTGGGCCTGCTGGTCATCCCACTGTCCCTACTGCCCCCCAGCACCTCTGCCAGTCCCCTTGGAGCAACTGGCACACCCTGCCCTGCTCTGCTGGCTGGGAGGGAGGTGCCCCTCCTCCAGCTCCTGTATTGCTGGGATCCATCAGTCTCAAGGGTCCATCTACAGGTGGATTTCTAATGTGTTCTGTTTTGGCCGCGCTGCACAGCTTGTGGGATCTTAGTTCCCTGACCAGGGATTGAACCCACGCCGCCCTCAGCAGTGAAAGCACGGAGTCTTAACCACTGGACTGAGGGGTAATTCCCCACAGGTGAATTTCTGGGGCACAAACTTGGGCAGGCAGGGCACCAGGGCACGCATCTCCATCAGCCAAGCCCAGCTACAGCAGAAAAGTCCCTGAAGTGTCCTCAGCACCAGGGACTCCAGGAGCACAGCTGGGTGCTTCTCAGGGAGGTCTGGTCCAGGGTTGGGTCTCCAGACCTCCTCTCTGAATGGGGCCCTGGGAGAGAAACAGGCCTCGCCCAACCCTGCCCACCACCTTCCTTTCCTGGCATCCTCCGAGCAGCTGACACAGTCCCTTCAAAACTGGAGGCAGCCTCTTCCAGCAGGCGACTGGTCAGTACAAGAGGTTTTGAAGGGCAGCGGCCAAACCCCCTTTCTGGTGTCTCCCTCGACACGCTGTGCACAAGGGCTTCCACCCACCCAGAGCCCAGACCCCGGGTATCAGGAAATCGCTCACGTATTTCAGGGCAGCCTTCAGCCGGGCCATGCAGAGGACGGTGACCCAGATGGACACTCCAGAGCCCAGGAAGTCGCAGTACTGCAGTGTGTCATAGTTGAGGATGCACAGCACCGCTTCACCCGGCTGGTCGCAGGCATGGTAGAACTGTGGGGCCAGGCGGTGAGCAGCAGCCCAGGTCCCCCTACCACCCCCAGGGGAGCAAGCAGGCCTACCGTGGAGAAGAACATGGTGTAGGCGTAGACGGAGGCCTCCACCAGGAGGGAGCGGTGCACGGAGATGGCGATGGGGGCCAGGAACACGAGGTTGCTCAGGGTAAGCAAGAGGGCAGCCGCCTTCTGCTGGGCCGCCGTCTGGGCTGTGCTGTTGTCTGTGCAGCTCCACCCACGCCAGCCTGTGGGCCAAGGCAACGCAGGGGGTCTGAAGCCGGGCAAGTCGGGCAGGCTTGGCAGGGGGCACTTTGGAACCTCAGGGCCCGCCCCTCACCCAGGGCCCTGCAGAGAAGCCCCTTCCTCACCCCTGAGCAGGCCGGGACAGGTGTGGGTAGGTGTGGGGCATATGTGGGTAGGTGGATGCCAGTGTGGGTAGGTGGGGGCAGGTGTGGGCAGGGGAGGCCAAGATCAGAAGGCAGTACCATCTCTGGAGGTGACTCTCTGTGCCCGCACGGGGGCACGGTAGGGGTGGGAAGGGGGCATCTGTCCTTGCTCTTCGGGGGCAGAGCTGGGATGGGCTCCCAGAGGAAGGCACAGGGCTGGGAGGCCAAGGGCACGAGTGGGGGGAGACATCAGGACTGTCCCTCACCTGCCTTGCAGCTGCAGCCCGCATACAGGTAGCCATGTCTGCGCAGCAGGAGGCACTGGCCGTAGGGTCCACAGTCATTCAAGCAGGGCACCAAGTTCAAGGTGGTCTCCACGAGGACCGAGGCCTGCTCACACTCCCTGCGAGGAAGGGGCCATAGGAAGGCTGGCTGCTGAGGTCTGCCGGTCAGTCCCCCACCAGTGCTCCCAGCAGGGTCTTGGACACATGAACCCAGAGTTGAGGCCCCCGAGCTCCGAGCCCTGGAGGACAGCAGCCACAAGCTCTGCGAGGCCAAGATGCCCCTCTTCTTCCCGCTGCCCGAGTACCAGCCTGTCTGGGGCTGTGTCCTGGACCAGTCCCCCTGCTTGTGTCCGGACTCTCAGAGCTGCCACAGGAAGAGTGGCCAGGTGGAGGTGGGGAACCCTTTAGAACTCCCAGAAGTCAACTGACCCTGCACGGCTTGCAGGAAGTTGGGTCAGTCCCAAACTGGGATGCGGGCAGCCCTGTCCATGGTCCCGAGCGCAACCATGTGGCCGGCTGCCCTCAAGTTTACTTACTCAGGTCTCTCAGGGCACATGAGCTGCAGGGAGAGGTACCAGTTGTCTGTCTCTGGGTAGGGGATGATGAGGTTGGCCGTGGGAGAAGAGGCACTCAGAGACAGGGGGTGGCCCTGGAAGAAGGCTGCAGGGGAGGAGGAAGGCCTGGTCATAGGGAGCCAGAAGGCCTGCTGGTCCCTGGGCCGGATGCCACCTATACCTGTGGTGCAGCTGAGCGAAGCGTTGAAGCTGAGCAAGGGTGAGGCAGCAGTCACACAGGCTACCACTGAGGTGTTGGCAATCGCAGTCTGGAAAGGAGGCCATTCAGGGTCAGGCCCTGGCCTCCACCTCAAGTTCACCCCTGGTGCTGGGTGCTGTTCTCTGTGGCCCCCGCTGGCTCAGGGCCTACCAGGACCCTTCCTCTCCAAGCCTGCGGCACCCAGCTTCTGACCCTACCTGCAGCCCTGGGCCTGCCGACGGGGACCTGCTGCCCCGCAGAACAGGCCTTCTGTTTCTCAGATGGTGCCTGTTCTGGCCCAAGGCGTGCTGGGCTCACTTTGTTGCCCGAAAGGCCACCCCACTCCCGTCTCCGTGCCAAAGTCGGCACAGGGAGGCCTGAGCAGCATCACTCCCCCAGGCAGGTCTGAGCCCTGGGCCCTGAGCCCTGATCCGAGCCGGGCCTCTAGGAGCTCTTGAACCAAGGTACCTTGTTGACCCGCATGGAGATGGTGAGGGAGCCCCCGCTGTCCATGCCTGTGTTGAGGTTCAGCCGCATCACCGAGGGCATGTCCGACTGCACGAGCACCGAGACCCTGTCCAGGGGCTGGAAGCGCACAGATACCACGTCCACGTCTTCCCGCAGGACGGGGAAGCTCCTGAGGCAGAAGGAGCCGCCGCCCACCCTGCCCCTCCGGTCCAGGTCCTGGTAGCTGGGGGTCAGGGGCAGCAGACCAGTGGAGGCGTTGCTGCTTTGGTTTGGGCTGCTCTGCAGAAGGTGCTGGAAGTTCACACTCCACGGCCTGCAGGCTGTCAGGACCACAAGGGGCTCAGCTGGAGGAAGGCCTGAGGGCGGAAGGCAGGGGGTAGAGCCATCTCCCCGCTCAGCCCACCTGTGAGGGCAGCCACAGCACTGAAAGCCACGGACACACGGGGCCCGGCAAGGCTCTTGGCCGTCACTTGCAGCCACCGGTCCCAGGGTGGTGAGGGCAGCAGCAGGTGGCAGGCCTGGGTGGGGCCGCTGCAGGTGAGCACCTTCTGGAAGTTTCCAGGCAGGGTGGCCGAGCCCACGGTGAGGCGCACAGGGCAGCCCAGGCTCCCATTGGACGCACAGCCCTGCAGCTCCAGCCGCAGCTCCTGGGTGTACTCGGGGACGAAGACCCTGCAGCCAAAGGGATACGGCCTCACTTGGGCTCTGCAGCTTCAACCAACCTCCCCATATACTTCACCCTCAGAGTGGTAGCCAAAGGGCGCGAGACACCTAGCCCCCACTTCTTAGCACGACCCAGAGACACAGACCCACTGCTCTTTCACCCACAGTGAGGACAGCAGTACCACCCACTCCACCCAACCTCCACTCACTTGAGGTAGCTGGGGTGGGAGAGAAGGGTCTGTGGAAGAGGCACGTCAGGCTCCAGGATGGAGACCTCGACCACTCGCACGACCAGCATGTCAGGCTGGAAGATGTAGGCACAGGTGGGAACAAAGCCCTAAGGAGAGAGTAGGCACAGGGGAGAAGGGGAACCAGGAGGGGGCAGCAGGGCTGGACCAGAGAGCCCTAGGGTTGGGGGAGGTGGGGCTGGACCAGAGAGCCTGTGGGGAAGGGTGTCAGGGCTGGACCATAGAGCCCTAGGGTGGAGGGGCAGGGCTGGGCAACAGAGCCCTGAGCAAAGTCTGCCCTGGGGAGATGAAAAATAGGGACTGGCCATTCATGCACTGTGGGGTCCTGCCCACCCCCTGTCCCTGGAGGGAGCCCCCTTACCTTCACCTCAATCTTATGGGATGAAGGGGGCAGGTGGGCGGCCACAAACCAGTCCCCGGGTGCTGGGTGGGAGATGTTGATGGAGGCGTTGCTGTGCAGCATCTTGAGGAAGAAGGAGGGCTGAACGGAGGTGTTGTCAGGGAAGCTGGTGCCCAGTGGGTTGATGACGGGAGGGGCACCATAGCGGAAGTACCTGGAGGCAGGGAGAACAGGGCAGGCTCAGGTGTCGCCCAGGCGGCTCAGGCGGGGGTGGGGGCAGTGGGCGGGCACCTACACGGTGATCTCCACGTTGGTGCAGGTGGGGCCACTGCCCCTGGACACCTGCAGCAGCCAGCGCAGCAGCACTGTGTCTGGGGGTACCCGGAAGTGGAAGAGCCTGGCGCTGCCATACCAGCTGTAGAAAGCCAGCTTCTGCGGGGCCTGCGAAAACTGCTCCGACACCAGCCTGGCATCTGCGGAGAAGGCGCTGTCAGCCGGGCCAGGGTGCCCAGGATCCCCCTCCCCTGGGGAGAAGATGGAGGCCCTCATGCCTGGCCTGGGCCAGAGAGAAGGGGCGAGGGAAGCCATGGAGCCCCTGGGATGCCTGGCATGCCCACTCTGACCTCGGAAAGGTCACTGCTCCCCCCCAGCCCTTGGCAAGGGCCCAGGGCTCAGAAGTTTTCACTCAGGCATCATGTTCCCACTCACGTGCACACATCCATCTTTCTAAACCCCTCCAGCTCTGCCAATGATCTCTAGCTCACAGGCTCAGTCTCCCACAGCCATTCCTCTGCCAACTTTCCCCAGATCTCCACATCCCAACCACCAGCCACCCCTTATCAACAAGGCCCAAGCCACCCAACACCGATCACCCCAACGGTCTCAGACCTTAGAAGCAGGAAGAGTCCCACTCAGACGGCAGCTCCTCTCCACACTGGTCACAGCCCCCCTCCCCTCCCTCCACTGCAGCCCTGGCACATCCAGGGCTGAGGGATGGAGTCTGAAGGGCACAGGAAGTGGTCAGGGTGGGACCCCCCCAACTGCCCTGGGCACTGGACGCCAGGACACTCTCCCCCACCTCCTCTGAGCCTCCCTAGCTCCAGCATCCTTGATCCTGGTTCCACTGGACAGGCCAGGGAGTCCAGGTCTGGAGGCTGGCCGCCTGCTCAGGCCATGATTTGGGATACAGTTGCACCAGAGCCGTCACCCCTCCTCACCCAGACAGGAAGCAGGCAGAGACCCTGTGGGGAGGGGACCTAGGCTGGAATGGCTACCCCCCAGCTCCAGTGGGCACAAGCCCCTGCAGAGTGGCCCCAGCCCGGGGCTCCCCTGCGCCCCAGTACTGGCAGTAGCTCCCAGGCCCCCACCTCCGTGACTCGCCAGCTGCCCTCCCCCACACACTCCAAAAGTTTGCACTTGCAGCCCCCTTTTGTCATGCCAGCCTTTCCCAGACCAGCTCTGAAGGTCTGCTGGGACTGGGCACAGAGGCCTGTGGCCCCAACCTGGATTGGGACCCTCCTGGGAGTGTCCAGCACAACCTCGGCTGGAGCATGTGTCTGGGGCCCATGGTGTAACCACCTGCCCCATGAGTGGGTGAGGGTGCCCACTCAGACCCCCCCTCTAGGGCCTCCCAGAGAACAGGCATGCTCTGGTGCTCTCTGTGTCCCAGGGGTGGCTGACAAGGCACCTGGGCTGCATGGTAGGAGGCGTGGCCCCAGTGGCCCCAGCACCAGCTCAGGCCTTGTTCTCCGCGTGACCTTGACCATCCCTTCCCCTCTCTGGGTCCTAGCTTCCTCTGAGTTGGCTGAGGCGGACAGCACCTCCCTTTGGCTGCCCCTCCCTCCATGGTTAATGGATGTTAAAGTGCTTTAAGAAGAAAGGCATTGTGGACACAGCAGGGTGTGGTCTCCCTCTCCTCTGAGCTGGGTACCTCCCCCTGCCCCACTGGGAAACTGGCAACTCACACCACCCCAGCAGCAAGCCCGGGCCCTTCCAGGTGGGCCAGGTGAGCAGGTAAGGGAACCAGGTGAGCAGCTGGCTTTCCTGCCAGCCTCCTGACCCTGCCATGGAAACACCCTGAGAAAAGATAACAGCCCACTTGCAAAGCCAGTCTGAGCTCGGAGGAGCCTGGTATGGGGGGCTGGGCAGGGGTAAGCATCACATAGGACACACTCCAGGCTTTCCAGGTCTACTGGCCACCAAGTCCCAACTGCCAACTGTGGCCTGAGTGCCAGGAGACTAGCAGCCACTGAGCTAATACAAACTTTCTCCTGAGGCTGCTGCAACCCTTCCCCCCCCCCCCCCCCCCCCCCACCCCAGGACCACAGGACCTTAGAGAAACAGTCAGCCAGCCCACCGGGCACCCAGCTTCTAGATGGGGCCAGGCAGGGGAGGTCCCGCTGCAGTGTGCAGCCCCCTGACCAGAGAGTGTCCAGGTCCTCTGGCCCCTGCCAGCCCTGGACACCTGCAACCCAGCTGGTGGCTGTGAAGTTTCAGCAGGTGCATGAGAGATAAGAGGGGTCACCCTAAGACCCAGTGGTCCCCACTCCCAGGCCACACAGCCCCTCCAGCACTGCACCCCCAGCTCTGCAGCTCTCCATCTGAGCCAGATGTGGAAGACACATTTCTGATATCAGGGAGCACCAATCACATGCACACCTGCTCTGCCCACAACCCCCTCCAAGGACACAGGGTAGGAGAAAGAAAGTCTCTGAGCCTGTCCTGGGAACCCTAGTAAGGGCACCCTGTCCCACATCCTCCAAACCAAGACAGGCACACAGTGCGGAGACCCTGCCCACCCAGAGACCCCAGAAGCCAGGATCACACAGAAATCAGGATCACTTCAGCAGGCCTGGGAGGTGAGCGGCTGCCCCAGGTTTTCCATCTCCATAAACTCTTCACCAGTGACCCCTCACCTAGCCCTGATCCCGGAAAAGGAGGAAAGGAGAAATCAAGCATGACTTTCTCATCTGTACCCGATGGAGCAATTTCATCAGGGGCCCATCTCGGGGAAACTGCCTTTCATTTCAAGCTGTGCCAAGCTCAGAAACCAGAGGCACAACCCTCAAAGAAACAGGAGCTTGGAGAAGCAAGATTTCAGAGAAGGGGGGATGGGCTGGGAGCCAGCCCCAGGCTGTGCTGGGTAAGCTGCCTACTGCCCAGTGGGGTATCTGGGCCCTCCCAGCCCCACCAGCCTGCCACCAGAGAGCCCAAGGCCTCAGGAATCAGGCAGTTTACTCAGCATCCTCAGGTATCCTGCAGAACCCCAAGGACAGCACCTTCTGGTCTAGCCACCGCCTTGGGCCTTCGTCAAAGGGAGTGGAAGTTCCCAGACAACACAGAGGTGCCCATTTCTCAGAACCACTCTGGCCTGCTAGTGTCCTGAGGACGACTGGGAGTCTAGCCTCCAACAAGCAAGGTCAGCTGTTGAAAGTGACCGCAGTAGGGTGGTGGTCACCTTGGGAGGAGTGGAGGCATTACACCCACCCCAGCTGCTACTCTAGGATCTAAGCAACTTTTTCCCAACTCTGGCCCTCTCCCAGACCAGATGAGGACCCAGGAATCCCACGGCCCAACGTTTCTTCCCAGGGGCTCTTAGCTCCCCCCCGCAGCTCTTGGAGTCCCAGAAGAATCCCCCTGGGCCACTTCACCCCCACGTCCTGGTGTGCGAGGCTCGTGCCCGACCAGAACCCGTTGGGAGGAGGAGGAGCAGGAAGGAAGGGAGGACTCGCTCCAAGGGGACCGTCTGGCTGAACCCGGCCCCGGGGACAGAGGAGGGGGCGCGGGTGTCCCTTCTACCGCCCGCTGTCACACTCGGTGCCCCGCAAGGGGCCGCCCTGCGCCCCCAACCCAGGGTGGGGACCTGGGCCCTACGTCCGCGCCAGGTGAGCGCACAGGTGCCCCCAGGTGACTCACAATCCCGGCCGCTCCCCCCACTGTTCCCTCCGCCCCCCAGCCCGAGCCCCCGGGATGGCGCCCGCGGGTCAGCGCTCGCTCACCGCTCTTTTGGCCGTCGCCGGCGGCGGCAGGCGGGGACCAAGCGAGCAGCAGCAGCAGCAGCAGCGGCACAGCCACCGGCACCACCACCGCCACCAACGCGCCCCCGGTCCCGGTCCCAGCCTGGCGCATGGCTCCGCGCTCGGCCCGGCGCTAGCCGACCCGCGTACCCGGCCGCCCACCCCCGCCGCCGCTCGGGCAGCCACGGCCGCCACTGCGGCCCCAGCCGCCGCCTCTGCCCTGGGTTCCCATCGTCCGGGCCGGTCCCAGCCGCCGGCGCCCCGGGCACTTCCGCCTGAGAGGCCCCGCCCCGCCGGGAGCTGGGCCGGAGAGCGGCGCCCGGCGCACGGCGCTGAGCTGGGCTCGGGGCGCGCGCGGGGAAGGCGATCTGAAGGAGGGTGCGGGGCGGGGGTCGACGCGGGGCGGGGGTCGATGCGGGGACAAAGAGGGCGCGCAGGGAAAATGGGTCGGAGGGAGGTCCGGACTGGTGGGGGACTCGGGCCCGCGACAGTGCGCAGGTGGGGGAGGCGGGGCGGGATGGAGTGGAGGGTCTCGGGACACGTGGGGCGGAGGGAGGAATGGGGGCGAAGGGTGGCGCGGGACCCCGGGGGCCGCGGGGGTCTTGGTTCAGAGAGAGAAATGGTGGGGCGTGACTTGGAACGCGCAGGAGATTCGAAGCGTCCGCGGAGTGTCCCCACATGCTTTCTGGATGCGCTGGGGGGACCCCGGGACGCCAGTGTCTTTCGGTCCCTGCTCGTGGGCCGGGCGCCGCGCGAGGTCCGGTCAGCCTGCGCCGGCTCCTGCCTCCCGGAGCTAGACTCCCCGGCCGGCCTCCCGGCGCGTCACACCACAAAGGCGCTACGAGTATGTGTGAAAAACACTTTCATGGAAAAATGAAAAGGCTCATTGTACATATTTCGTACACTGTGAAGGTGGCGATTCACGTCAGTGGGTGGGACTCACCCTTGACATCCGGGTAGATTCCAACAGATTAAGGATTTCAGCGTGAAAAGGAAACGATGGAGGGACTGGAAGAGTACATGGGGAAACTTTTTCACAGTTTAGGGGAAGCGAAGGCTTTTCTACATGTGACCCAGTAGGCTAGAGGCAAGATAGAAATTCAGCTACGAGCAAAACTGAGTAACCACACTCAAAAAACAAGCCTCAAATGGAAGGACACTTGCAACTCACATCACAAAGGGCCGATCTTAATGAGATTACTAATAATAAAGAGTTCCTACAAGTAAATAAGAAATATCAACTCTCCCACAGCAAACCACCAGAGAAGATTCCTGGAAAGGATATGCAGATGAATATTTCCCTCCTTAGAGAAAGGCAAACTGAAAAGCACCCAGAGGCCTTCTTTCACCTAACAAATCTGCAGAGATCAAAAAATTTGATCCTACCGAAAGGGTGGCATTGCCCACAGACTTTCTTAGGTTTGCTGAGCCTCCCGGGAGCCCCAGTCCTGCCACCGCTGTGCATTTTCCCTGCAGATATGGTAACAGAAGCGTGAGGCTGCATTCAAGTGCAGCATGCACCTAGATATTGGTCATGAGGGTATGGGCATTAGAGTCATGGGTACCCAGATCGAAATTCAAACACTGTGATATTATAAACACTGATCCAGTGGGCTGTAAAAGGAAAACCAGGAAGCTCTGTGTACTAATTGGGAATGGTCTACCAGGGGGACTATTAGCTGAAAAAAGGGAAGGGCAGAATAATGTGTTCAGAAAGCTACCATTTTTGTAGAAAAAAATTTTTTTAATTTGCATATCTTAAAGACGTAGAATGCCTGGAAGCATCCAGCAGCCGGGGAGGGAAGGGAGCCCTGTGGCCGAGGATTGGTAAGAGGGGCTATACCTGTTTGCACCTTTCGAACTTTGTACGTATGGGGGTGTTCGCGCGTGCGTGAGGGTTTACCGGTCGGGAGGGAAGAGAAGCTGACCGGGGAGCCCAAGGCCACTGAATGCTGGGGGGTAAGGGGGGACGGTGAGGCATGGTGGGAGGGTGGGGGAAGGAAGTCCCAGGTGTGAACCCTTAAAAGAGACCCTTTATTCCTCTGGAATCTAGGCTGGACCCCCCTCACCCCTGGCCGAAGGGGGCTCCCAGGTTCTCAGTTTAAAGGGACAGAGACCAATTCTGGGTTTTGCTGAGCTTCGATTTTAGTGCACTGTACTGACCCAGATCATGCTGGGGACAGCAGCTGTGGTCAGCACTGAGCCCTGCAGACTGTTCCAGCCGAGATCCATCCCTGCCCCAGGCTGGGCTCAGCGGTTCCCCACCAGCCCTACCCACTCTGAGGGTCACCTCAGTGTGAGGCTCCCGGGCCAAGCTCCCCAAGCAGGCAGGAGAGGAGGCATCGGTGCTCCATCTAGGGGGCTCAGGAGAACTCTGCTACGTAACAGAGTATTAATAATGGAAAGGAGGGACTTCCCAGGTGGTCCAGTGGGTAAGACTCCATGCTCCCATTGCAGGGGGCCAGGGTTCAATCCCTGGTCAGGGAACTAGATCCCACATGCATGCCGCAAAAAGGTCCCGCATGCCACAACTGAAGCCCAGCGCAGCCTAAATAATAAATAAATATTTTTTTAAAAATGGAAAGGACCCACCTGGGAGGCCAAATGTGAAGATGGAAACAGGTCCAGTGGCAGGAGGCCCCTTCTCGAGGTCTTGCGGATACACGGTTCTGTATCCTACCTCACACTACACAGAAAAATGAATTCCAACTGGATCAGGCTGTCAACTGTCAAGAATAAAATGATAGTGCTTGCCTCAGCAGCACATATACTAAAATTGGAACGATACAGAGAAGATTAGCATGGCCCCTGCACAAGGATGACATGCAAATTCGTGAAGCGTTCCATATTTTTAGGCGGGAAAGAGGGGAGGGATAAATTGGGAGATTGGAATTGACATTTACATACTACTATGTAAAAATGGATAATTAATAAGGACGTACTTTATAGCACAGGGAACTCTACTCAATACTCTGTAATGACCTATATGGGAAAAGAATCTAAAAAAGAGTGGATATATGTATATGTATAACTGAGTCACTTTACTGTACACCTGAAACTAACACAACATTGTAAATCAGCTATAATCCAATAATTTTTTTTAAAAAAAGAATAAAATGATAAAAATATTAAAAGGAAACTAGAACACGTCCCTTAGAATACAGTCATGGGAAAGAATTTCTTGAGCAAGACAGGGAACCGGGGAACATGAAGAAAAAGTTACTTATTTGACTACATTTTTTAAAATGCTACGTAATTATAAAAAGTGTGAAAGGATAGACGTCATCAATTAAGTCAAAAGACAAATGGGAGAAAACATGTGCTTTGTGTGATAAACGGTGAATATACCTAAGATAGAAAGGAAATTCACACACTGAAAAAAAGACAGTCCAAAAGAAGACACTGGAAATATCCCATATCCCGGCAATTTACAGAAGATGAGAAAGATGAAAGTGGTCCCCTGGTGGCAGTGAGTGACAGGGGCAGATGTTGCCAGGGTAGGATGCCCCAAGAGTGATGCTCTGGTTTGAGTGCTCCCCCTTGGCAGCCCTCACCAGCTTCCCTGGGCTGGCAGATGCAGGTCAGGCTACCTGGGACCCCAGCTCCGAGAAGAAGCCACCCACACTGGCTCCCCCTGCAGTGACCCGAGCAGGGGTGAAAAGAGGTCTAAAATGTTTAAAGTTGCAGTCCCAAAAGGATAGGAGAGAACGAGGCAGAAAAAACATGAGAAATTTGGTGAAAGACATTAATGTACAGATTCAAGAAGCTCAGTGAATCCTAAGAAGAAATTGTACAAAGAAAATCACACCCAGGCACATAATAGTCAACTACTGAAAACCAAACAAAAAGAGGAAATATTGAAAGCATCCAGAGAAAAATGACATTCAAGGGAATAACAATTCAAACAACCTATGACTTCTCTGCAGAAACAATGGAGCAGACAGGACAGGGGGGAGGAGAAAACAGACCTACATGGTTGCAAGATTCCTGCATCTTACATGAAGTGGCACAGTATAAATTCTAAATAGTCTGTGAAATGTTAGGGATGTAATTACAATCCCTAGAGCAACCAGTATAAAAATAATGCTAAGGTATACCTAAAAATCCAATAAATAAATTAAAAGGTATTTTAAAATATTCATTTAATCCGAAAGAGGTCAGGAAAGGAGGAAAATAATATAAATCAGAGGGGGCAAACACAAAACAAATAATAAAATAGGAGACCTAACTCCAACCATATCAATAATTACATTAATTATTCATGGACTACACACTCCAACACTCCAATTAAAAGGCAGAGATTATCAGACTGGATTTTCTAAAAAGCAAGACCCAGCTATCTACATCCATAAAGACACAGATGGGTTGAAAGTAAGCGGATGGACAAAGACCCAGCATGCAATAATAAACATGAGAAACTGGAGTCCCTATATTTCTATTAGATAAGGTGGACTTCAAGACAAAAGGTATCATCAAAAAAATTTTTTTTTCATAACCATAAAAGGGTCAATTCATAAGGAAGAAATAAATATGTATGCACCTATTAAAAGAGCGTCAAGGGACTTCCCTGGTGGTCCAGTGGTTGAGACTCTGTGCTCCCAATGCAGGGGGCCTGGGTTCGATCCCTGATTGGGAAACTAGATCCTGCATAACACAGCTGGGAGCCCGCATGCTGCAACTAAGACCCAGTGCAGCCAAATAAATAAATAATTTTTAAAAACCAGTTCTTGGGCTTCCCTGGTGGCCCAGTGGTTGAGAGTCCGCCTGCCGATGCAGGGGACACAGGTTCGTGCCCCGGTCCAGGAAGATCCCACATGCCGTGGAGCAGCTAGGCCCGTGAGCCATGGCCACTGAGCCTGCGCGTCCGGAGCCTGTGCTCCGCAACGGGAGAGGCCACAGCAGTGAGAGGTCCGCGTACTGCCAAAAACAAAACAAAACAAAAAACCAGTTCTCCATAAACTTCAAAGAATTTGGGTGATACAGAATATGCTCTCTGACCACAATGGAATTAAATTAGAAATCTATAACAATAATTAGGTAACTAGAAGTCAGTGAAAATCAGACTCAGGGTCTCCTGAGAGGCTGCTGGTTTGCAGGTGTTGGGGAAGGGGCAACCTGGAAACTTCCACGTTTACCCAAAGAGGCACAAGATTAGAAACAGCTGGAGAGCCGGTGTAGGGCAAGGAGACAGCAGCAGCAGGGCTGGTACGGAGTCTGGTTCTACTGGGTTGCCCCC